TGTAGCTTGGAGTTAGTAGTGTATATTTAGGACGGCCATAAGTTTAGTTTGGGGTTAATTGACGTTTTTTCATATGTAAGTCTAAGCTAAATACATATCCAAAGTATTATAACTTATCTTTATGACATATATTCACAACACTGATATCTTCTTAACTAAATGAAATTATGATTACTATTTTCAATCTTAGCTACAACGTAAAAACATGACAACTATATAACATTCCAGCTACAATGCAAAAAATCATGTCAGTGGTATATTATGAAAGTGATTATCCATTAATGTATTTTATAATACTTACCTTATTATTAAATAAAGATTTCTTCTTCCTTTTTTATTTTTTTTTACTAGCTTCCCTTTTTATCTATTTTATTTTATTAATATGTACGTATAATTTAAATACACGTAAAAACAATTTTTATATTGACCAAAGAAAGGCCCGTTTTATCAAATCTATAAACCCAATAGAACCCCAAATGTTTATCGAAAACAGAGTACCTTCAAATGAACCACAACAAACAGAGTATCAACTATCAAGGGAGAATAATATAATACTTTTCTTTTTAAAACAATGTAAAGTAAGTTTCTCTCGGTTAGTCATATAATTTTTTAATTCATTCGTAGACATAGTCCAATTAATTCTATAACCCTACAAAAAATGTTAAAGCCACTAAACAGTATAGACTAGATTAGTTTCTTCAAATGCGGCCATAAAAGTTAATGATAATAGAAGGCCTAATATGCTTTAACATCGCTATTAGAGATGAACACTTGGGCTTTAATGGTCCTAAATCTTTGGTAAAACGGGCCTTTAATTACGCTAACATATACTCTCTTTTTTTCTTCTTCTTTTGCTAACATATACTTGTCAAACCTAAATACGAATCGTTGATCTAAGACTCTAAGTTCATTACCTATTTTCACTCGTAGACGTATGTTTCTAGTACTTGATCATAATATAATACTAGGTTACAAAGATAATATTAAAAATGATGGTATCAAATTTTATAATCATACTTGCGTATATAAAATTTGGAGATCGTACGATATTGATAAAGTTAGGCCACCACTACGCGATGATATAAGTGGACAATGTTATAGAAAAATGTTAGAAAAACTATATTAGTGACGTATTTAACATCCCAACCCAACCTCCTGAAACAGAGACCACATATATTTAAACTATAATTTTTTATATAAAATTTATATACTCAATCAATTAGTACTCTATGATTGTATATAAAAAAAAATTATAATTAAATGATTGTGGAAGTTTGCTCCAACATTTTGTGACCTAACTTGATCTATGATCCCACCATTAAATTTAATTATACATAGTATGTATTTTTGTTTGTTAACGGGATTT